TCAAGTTTGATTCGATAAATACTTTATAGTTATACCAAAAACTGAGATGAAAACCTCTTTGTCAAACATTAAAAACATATTTCCTTCAAAGGGTAAGATAGATCACACAAATTCTAGTAGGTGAAACTATATGAAGTATCTAGTGCGTAGGAGGCCACAACCTAGCTGACCATGACAAAGGCAAACTCACGTTACTCACCCTCTTCATTTAGATCTCTCTACCTTTTCTTTAAGAGAAGATAATGGTAGAGAGATGTGTTATATCACCATAGGAGAACATGAAAGTTAGCAAGTGTACTCCCTTTCTCTTCAAGAAGTAAAAACTCTGAATTCAATTATCTCGAAATCCTCCTCTTATCTTTCGAGAATTGTATATCCAGAAATAAAAGGCTTAAAATCAATAAATTATTAAAATTAAGAAGTCAATAGTATATTTTATGGTTTCATCTAAAATAGAAGTTATATAAGAATCAAGAAGTGCTTAAATATTGCAGTCTACATCTCATGAGAAAAACAATTATTTCAAAAGTTGGAAATAACTGAACAAAAATAAGATACATTAATAGCATGTATCAGACAAAGCAGGCATCATAGAGAGAAAATAGCATACCTGTAAGAGAGTAATAACATTAGCACAAGGGAAAAACTGTATGAAGACAGAGCTGCTCTGTTGAACATAACCAGAAGTACTGCGAAATACATCCAGAGCAGCAAAGGTCAAATCTTGAATGAATAAAAAAAACTAATTAATGTTCAACAATAAGGGAAATACTTAAGCAGGTGCACAAATTTTTCTCAAAGAAGTCACATAAATAATTCCCTACCCACACCTAAAATACAATAAGGGAATAAATCAATTTGTGCACCTGACAACTCTGTCCCCAGTAGAAGAATTGGTAGCAACAGAATACACGCCAGAAGCTCCACCATGAGCCCTAACCAAAAAAAAGGGGTCCAATTTCAACACAAAATCTAACAAACATGGGGAAAATATACTGCTTACAACATGCATTTGGCATTTTGGATTATGCTTTATCTCAAAAGAAAAGTTTCAATGTGTTTTAATGAATGATAAAAGATAAATCTCAATCTGAATGAATAAAATACAGCAATCTTAAAGTTTTGAGTTCTTTTACATCTTCACGCATAAGTATAGAGCACGATTCTTGTGTGGCCTATGAGGGCAGTATAAATGCCAAAGTAATTTCATACTTAAGATAAAAAGTGCATACCCCTATGAGGACAGTATAAATGCCAAAGTAATTTTATACTTAAGATTAAAAGTGCATACCCTTTCCAATTAAAAATTGTCTACTTTCACTGTCGTTCTCGATGCTTTGAAATTTTTGAAGTATTCCAGACCATACCAGACACTATATCAGTTCATAAAATGATGTCGTTATTCACCTTTGCTGAATTGTGCGAAACAGCACTGGCAGACTCTCCTCAACCAGTATCTTCCCAGATGCAAGCCATTACAAATATCTGTCTATAAGGACAAATCTGCAAATGTCAAAATTGTATCCCATTAACATGCACGTTGAATATCACGTCTCTGCAAAGATACCCGGTCTAGTGATTCAAAAACTGCTTCAACAGTTGAGCATACTTATTTTACAATATATTATATCATTATGTAAAAGCCAAAATGCTACCCAACCTGGAAAAAATTAAGGTTATTTGAGGTGCATCAGACTAATCCTCTCCTTGCAAGTATTTTTTTTTGGTAAATGAAAGATTTTATTCATCACCAAATGTAAAAAATGAATGTACATCAAGAGTCTCATCATATGTATGAGATATCAAAACTGACATTAAGAGTTCAAAGAAAATAGAACTCAATCAAAAACTCAGCAACTAACAGCAACTGAGTAAAACCTGCTCTCCTCAACAGCAACTAACAGCAGCTTAGAACCTGCTAATTGCTCTCTTCAATGACTGTCATAGTGAAATGATCCATTCTCTGTCTTCTACCTTAAAAGAGCCATTGAGAACAAAAGAATAAATGTTGAATTTGATATCTTTAAAAAGCTGATCAGCTGGCCTTGCTTTCTGCCTGAAAATCCTGAAATTCCTTTCTCTCCATATACTATAAACTGCTGTAGTTAGAGCCATCCTTTTAATCCTTTGCTTGAAACCATTCCCCTTCAGTCTATCACAGTACCAAATCACAATCTGATTCCAATCGCAGGACTGCCATTTGAAACTGAGCCAATCCATAATTTTTAGCCACACTTCTCTTGAATAGCAGCACTCAAAGAAAAGATGGTTTCTGTTTTCAGAACCAGTACACAGACAACAATTGTTAGTGTTCATTAATCCCCTCTTAATCAGTCTGTCGATAGTAAGCAACCTATCTTGGATTGCTAACCAACAGATAAAAGAGTGACTGGAGAAGTTTGTAGTCTCCCAAACTGTTCTATGCCATGGCACAACTGAAGAATTAGGGGAGAGAGCATTGTACAATGCTGAAATCTGGATTCTAGAATTTTCAGAGCAAGATTGAATGAGCAGCAACAAGTTATTTAGACCTCCACAAAAGCTAACAGCTTTGTCTCTGATTTTCAAAATTTTCTTCCACATCCATGAGTCCCAGTTTTTAGCCTGAACATGCCATATATCATCATTTCTTAAGTACGCACTGTGTATCCATTTGATCCATAGACTCTCTTTATTAACATGGATATGCCACATTAACCTCAACATAGTTGCCATATTCCAAATTGTTGCTGAGTAGATGCCAGGACCCCCATGCCTTTTACTCAAACAGGCTTTATCCCAAGAAACTAGAGGAATTTTATGTTTTTGATCTGTTTTGCCCCATAGAAAGTTCCTGCACATTTGATCAATCTTCTGCAATACTCTGACGGGAAGAATATAATTTGAAGTCCAATATATCTGGATGCCAAGTATAGTACTCTTAATAATTTGTAATCTGCCAGCAAAAGACAGAGCTCTATTTTTCAGACAAGCTTGTAATTGATATGAGATTTTGTTTAAAAGAGGAGAACAATCAGTATATGATAATCGTTTGGATATCAAAGGAACCCCCAAGTATTTGATGGGCAGTGCACCCTCTGTGAAGTTCAGGAGATTACTAATCAAGCTTTTGGTATGTTCATCAACACCACTGTAAAAGATCTTACATTTTTCTGGATTTGCAACCAGACCTGATACCTCACTAAACTCCTTGAAGCAGTTGAAAAGAAGTTTAACAGAATGAATGTCACCCTTAGAAAAGAGGAGGAGATCATCTGCAAATATTAGATGAGTGATTTTTAACTCACCACACCTAGGATGAAATTTAAAAGATCTGTCCTCTTTAAGCATGTCTAATTTTCTTGACAGGAACTTCATACCCAGAGTAAACAAATAGGGAGAGATAGGATCACCTTGTCTCAAACCCCTTTCTCCTTTGAAATAACCATGTAGTGTGCCATTTAAAGAAACAGAGTATTTTGGGGATGTAATGCACACCATGATCCAGTTTGTAAAGATATCAGGGAACCCCAGACCAGTAAGCATATCTCTAAGAAAATTCCAACTTATAGTATCGAAAGCCTTCTTGATATCTATACTCATCATGATCCTGGGTGAATTGTGCTTCCTGCCATAGCTCCTCACAATCTCATGAGCCGTGCAAGTATTTACTTTCAACTTATTAGTTTATATTCATATCATTCTTTGGCTGAAGTGAAACAACCATTAGTTTATATCCATATCATTCTTGGTAAGAATCCTTAGTTCATTGTTACTACTTACTATCAAAATGAATGTGTGAATTAACATAGAGACTAACCTAATCATGGCTGAGCATTAACATGCATTAATTAGGACTCTTGCTCTCGAGAGAACCACATTTTGCTATTATCTCAATATAATACTTTGGCAAAACTACACAGACACTTTACAATCTATTTCTAATTAAAAACAAAAATTTCATAAAAACTAAAGAGGTAAACAACAGAATTCTCTAGCAAGCAAGTTACATGTTTGGTAAACTATGACTCGATGTATTAAATTGAGAGCAAAAAAGTCCAGCGGGCTCTGCTCGGTTTGAGAATGATGAAATCATCGTCCGAGATACACATTATGCGACAATTCATTATTGAGCATGAGGTAAATAACATCTTTAATAATGAATAGGGAAATAATGAATTAAAAAAAATCTGTTAAACTTGTGATGTGGCCCAGCAGCAAATTTCCTGGGGTGGTGGGGCCTCTGATAGCTCTCTGCCTCCGAACCCCCCAATTCATCAATCCCTACCTTTCTAGAATCTCTCTCCTCTCTCTTTGTTTCGTCGTTTCTATTGTCAATCTTGCTGTAGCTGTAGTAGTTGTTGTGGCGGTGGTTACGCAAAGGGGAAGGAATCTCTCTTGACCCGGAAAAAGTGCGTGCCATCCAAGACATGCCACCTCCGAAGAATCTCAAAGAACTCAGAGGTTTGCAGGGCAGACTGGCCTACATCCGAAGATTTATATCAAATCTGTCAGGACGTTGCCAACCTTTCTCTAAGCTTATGAAGAAAGGAATATCCTTTGTTTGGGATGCGGAATGTCAAAGACAAAGGGGAGAGAGAGAGAGAGAGTGTGTGTGAGAGAGAGAGAGAGAGAGAGAGAGAGAGATTTTCATGTCTCAGTGATGAGAGAGAGATTCCAAGTTGTTTCAGCTGTGGCTTTCCATGGAGATTTTTAAGGTCGAGTGTCATGGTTTTAGATGTCTCTCCACTTTTTCTCTCTCCTCCTTGTCCATCTAGCCAACACTCTCTCCTCCCGTGGGGACCACCAAGCGATCTGTTTAATTCTTTCCTTCTCTCTCTCTATCTAAAATTATTTGGTGGGTGGCTCCTCTCTATTACAGTAAAACTAACCCCACTTTGTCCAAGTACACCAAGAACATGTGAATGATGACATTTCTCTTTTCTCCCTTGTTCTCGTTTAACCTCAATATAAATACCTCACAATCCCCCTCACATTAATTCATCGTTACACCTTTTCATCTAACAAACAAATAAATTCCACCTGATTTAAAAATATATATCTATCATTAATTCTTCTTCTTAATTCTTTATCAATAAGATCATGAGCATCGCGGTTAACGGGCGGTCCAGTGTGCCTCCAGGCTTCCGCTTTCATCCGACGGAGGAAGAGCTATTGAACTATTACCTTCGCAAGAAGGTCGCTTGTGAAAAAATTGATCTCGACGTCATTCGGGATGTCGATCTCAATAAGCTCGAACCATGGGATATCCAAGGTAATCATATATAGCATCATCTAACTTTGTGAACTTATTTCACAAGACCAGCTGTACGTGTGCAATAGCTCTCGATCGACTATTGCCGTCTTTATGTACTCATTTTATGCAGCAGCTTTTCCTCTCGCTGCTAATCTTTTTCCCAAACCACTTCTTCTTCTTTTTTTTTTTAGCCAAAGATATGCACTTCCTTTATAGTAGCGGTATTGATTTATGCTATATCCCAAATTCAGAGAAGTGTAGGATCGGATCGACCCCGCAAAATGATTGGTACTTCTTCAGTCATAAGGACAAGAAGTATCCCACGGGCACAAGGACGAACCGTGCGACCGCAGCGGGATTCTGGAAGGCTACAGGGCGTGATAAGGTGATATACACCAGTTGCAGGAGGATCGGCATGCGTAAGACACTTGTTTTCTATAAAGGAAGGGCTCCTCATGGGCAGAAGTCGGATTGGATCATGCATGAGTATAGGCTTGACGAGCACTCTGACTCTCACTCTTTCTCAAACGTACGTATGGTGTCACAATCTTTCTTTTTATTTATTTATTTTTTAGTTTATACATTTTCACTGGAAATTTAATGAACAAAAATGACAGTCATCTGCTAAATGACATACTCACCACACCACTTGTGATTTATGTAGTGATACGTACACCTTCATTAGTTTTTTTTTTTTTTTTTTTTTTTTTTTTTTTTTTTTGATAATGGAGATCGTAACTTTTCATGGGCCGAAAACTTCAATAGCATTGTGATGATTTCTATTTTCAAATTATAATTTTAAACATGAGGCTTTTGAGGCTTGAACATCGACGACATAGTACCATATTAAAGTCTCTTTCAGGGAATCAAAACTCGCAACCCATGACGATGGCACAGAATTTTGACTTGATAGTACGCTAAACTAAGTTTTTAATTAATTCTTAGATATGACGTTTTAAGTTGGTATTTCAGTTACTTTTTATATTTAATTTGTTTCGAAAATTAAATGACCCTGCATAAAATTAAATAGAGTAATAATGAACCCAAAAGCTTAAACTAATTAATTGCTTTATTTTTTTATTAATACGATGTATCGTATATAGTCATTTTGTAATTTTTCATCTGCCTGTGCAGGTGTCTGCCTTGATAGGGGAAACAAGCAATCAAGAAGAAGGATGGGTTGTATGCCGAGTTTTCAAAAAGAAGAACCTCCACAAGGCCATGGACAGCTCAAACAACTCGTCCTCAATTGTCACAGATGCCAAGACTCACCTTCTTCTTCATTCAAGCAGCGACGGCACACTAGACCAAATCCTTCAAGCGATGAGTAGATCTTGCAAGCAAGAAAAAGAATCCTTTATCACCACCACCAACAATCACCTCAGGTATCTTCGCCCGCTCGATACCATCACGAGCTCTAACCTTAACGAGATGTTCTTGAAGCTGCCTGCACTCGAGAGCCCAACAATTTCAACGACCTTGGCCGATGAAATCTCACCAAGTTTCGAGCATTCTTGCCTTTCCGAGACAGGGCTCACTGAGTGGGCTGCCCTGGATGGACTCGTCGCCTGGCAACTCAACGGCCAGTCAACGGATTCACTAAAGCAACTCTCTTGCTTTGATAATCCGAACTTCATTTACAACAATAACAATAACAATAACAATAAAAGTAACGACGGCGGTGATGGTGATTTGTGGAGCTTAGCATCATCCGCATCCGACCGCATTAGCCATGTGTCGCATGGATCGATATAACGGAACGGGTCCATAGTACTCAAACCAATGACTGAAAGGCTTACAGAAGAATGATTGTTGCATAGTACTATTATGTTATTTATACAAATGTTTAAAGATTGTATTTAAGTTCTTCATGAGTCATCACCCTTACTATACAAAAAGAACAAGGGTTTCTGAGATGTGGTGGCTTTAGTCCAAAAGGTCATCACCTCAAATGTTAATTAATCAAGATTTGGTTTAGGGGTTTTTGTTTTTATGCCCATTTGTTTACTCAACTTTATCTTTAAACCCAAACATTATTAGTTGTATCTTTAAGCCCAATACACTTTTTGTATTTGTCTTTAAACATAATCTCTAAAATATAATACTTTCAGCACTTGTACTTATACAGAATTAAGGTAAAAACCCCAAAATACCTCTTTCATTGCCAAATATATATCAGTTTCTCTCTCATCATTTTCCCATTTCTCTCTCAGCCCTAAATTAAAAAAATAACCACGAACTGCCGCCGTGTCGCTTGTCGCCCACCGCCGCCGTGTTGCCCCCTAAATTAAAAAAATAACCACGAACTGCCGCCGTGTCGCTTGTCGCCCACCGCCGCCGTGTTGCCCGCCGCCCATCGCCGCCGTGTTGACCACGAACTGCCGTCAACCACGAACTACTGCTGTCGTCGACCACAAATTGTTGTCTCCTGTCCTAGTCATCGTTGCCGTCTAAACAGATCTCTCCCGTCCCAGTCGTCGACGTCGTTGTTGTCGTCGACCTCGTAATGTCGTCGATCTCGCCGTTGCTCCAACGCCCGTCCCAGTCATCAGCCGCTGCTCCTTCACAGAAATCAATTAATAAAATATTTGGCTATGAAATTGATGATTATAAGGACAATAAATAAGTATTTGGGTCAGTTATGAATACAATGCTTATCCGAAAAGGGAATACTTCAATTGCTGAGAATTATTTGACACCCTCAATTGCATTTTTTTTATATCGAAAATAACAACAAATACTCAAAACATCCATTTTGTTTTTAGCCTTTGAAATTTGTTTTAATAAAGAAATTATGTATAATATTGATAGACAACTAAAGTTGCCTTATGTTTTATGGTTGCAGAAAATTCTATCTCATGACTTTATGGCAAATTCCATCCAATGTTGCGAATTCTATCTCATAAGTATAATGTTCATTGAACCGCTTATATCCAGTCTATTGTTCTTTTGATCCGCTTATATTTTGATTTTAGGATATCAACGTGATCCTCAAGACCAATTCCCTAGATGCTAGATGTCAAATATGATATACAATATTTTTGTATGTATAAATATATGTTTGGAAATTGATTTCTAAAGTATTGTCTCGGTATGAAACCTTTGGGACAACTGTTGGAATTGGTTATGTAAAGTATTGTCTCAGTGCTGATGCATCCAGTTTCTTCTCCCTCAATGGAGCAACATTTTTTTTATTTTGTATAAATATATGTTTGGAAATATATTTTAGTTCCAACGTTTTTGTCTTGTAAGCTGAAATTTCAAAGGTTTGTAAGTTATATTTCAGGTTATAGCATGAAACCTGTAAGTATATGACATTATCCTGTAAGTATAACACGTTATCCTATAAGTATAGCACGTATCTTATAAGTATAGCACGTTATCTTATAAGTATAGCACATTATCCAGTAAGTATAGCACGTTGTCCAAAAGTATAGCACGTTATCCTATAAGTATAGCACTTATGCAGTAAGTATAGCACGTTATCCTGTAAGTATAGCACGTTATCCAGTATGTATAGCACGTTATCCTGAAAGTATAACACATTATCCAGTAAGTATAGCATATTATTAACGGTAAGCTGAGTTGAAGCTTGAAACCGATTAAAGGAGCGGTTATTGGCGTAAGTTAGAGGGTGATTCTTCGCTGCTATCTTGCGCCCCCGCTAAGACCACTGATGGCTAAAAAAAAGAACAAAAATGGGAAAAAAAATTCTTAAAATTGGATTAAGGTCTTCAAATCCAAGTTCATCTGCTTTAGAGGATCAATCTGATGTGTCTTTTGTTGAAGATGATGATGATTCTTGCATTGAGATGGGGTCAACGGGGCCGAAGGGTGAGAAGAAAAAGGTTCCGATGATGGAAATTCTTCGATCTAAGGTCTTTTCTGATGATTCTTGTTTTCCTCACGCTACTCCTAGGCTTGTAGGAGTTCAATCTCAGAATCTTGACAAATTGTCGATCTCTGGTAAGATCCTCAACTCGGTTGATGGTTGTTCTAATTCTAGATCTTGGGCGGATGAAGTTGAACAAGGAAATAATCTGGAATTTTCTCTTTCTCGGGGAATTGAAGAGGGTTTATCTAGGGAAAGGCCTAATTCAGTTCTGTTTTCAAATCTTGATCAGAATACTGTTGCATTGAAGTCGAATATTGGAAATTTGGCTACTGATCCTGTCTCAATTTCAAATTCTGATGCTATTAGTAAATCTTCTGGTAAATTTTCAATTAAGAATCCTGGTACATCAAATTTTGAACCCTCTGATTTTCCTCAGCTAAATCTCTTGGTAGATAAACCTCCTCCTGATAATTCTGTTAAGAAAAGCTGGGTCAGTATGTTTGCGGACAATAGATTACCAGGGAACAGATTTGATTTGAATTTTTTACCACCTTCTTCTAAAGATGTTGTCTCTTTTGAGGAAGATGAATGGAATGAGGGGATGTCTATATGGAAATTTTCATTGATTGGGTAGGTCATTGGTCTGAATGTAAAATTTAGAGCGATGGAAGATTTTTGTACAAAAGGTGTGGGCTCCTATTGCTAATCCAGAAGTTTGTCTTCTTAAACCTGGAATCTTCTTATTCAAATTTAAAAGTAAAGAGGAAATGGGTGATATTCTTGAAAGGGGTCCTTGGTTTTTTGGTTCTAGGCCTTTACTTTTGAAGGCATGGGCAACAAATGAAGAGATTGATAATATTAAAGAATGCATATACCCAATGTGGATTCAATTGCCATGTTTGAAATTAAACTTGTGGAATGCAAGGTGTATTAGTAAGAATGTGAGTGCTATTGGAAAGCCTATAACCACTGATAAGCTCACTGCCAGTAGACAGAGACTTTCATATGCTAGGGTTCTGGTTGAAGTAACTTTACCAACATCCCTTCCTGATTATATTACCATTCAGGGACCGCATGGTGCATCTTTTAATCAGAAGGTGAATTATGAGCTCAAGCCAAGATGGTGTGATTTTTGTAAATTAGTTGGGCATGATACTAATTTTTGTAAGAGGCAAACTAAGGTTCAGAAATGGGTACCTAAGCAGAATGTAAAAATGGCAGATAATGATGGGAATAAAATTTCTACTCTTGGTGGCTCACAAGTGCTTAATAGAATGGGGTGTACTGTTGTTGATTCACCTCAACATCCTGTTATAGAGCCTGTGCATGTTGTGCACGTCCAAACCTCTAAAGGTCCTATATCTGGATCTGGTATGCATAAATCTGGGGGTGCGGGGGTTTCAGACAAATCTGGAAAGTTAGTACAAGGGAATAATGGCCCTTCCCTTGTATCTGTAAAAGAGACCCTGCCTGGTTATCAGGTTCCTGTGCATGCCAATTATGCTGTTGGGAAAGATGTTATATCTGATTTTAGTAAGAGGTCTTCTTATCAGCCTTATTGTAATTCTGGGCAACTAAAAACAAAGGAGGTCCCTAGCTCCTGTCTGGAATCTGAGCATGTTGTTCACAGCTTGGAGCCTGTGCATATTGTGCACGCTCAAAATTCAGCAGTCTCAATGCATGGATCTGGGGATTCTGGGCAACTAAAAATAAATGAGGTCCCTAGCTCTTGTCTGGAATCTGAGCATGTTGTTCACAGCCTGGAGCCTATGCATGTTGTGTACGTCCGTAATTCTACAGTCTCAATGCCTGGATCTGGTGTCAGATTTACGCATAGGTCTCGGAGTGCAGGTGCTTTTGGCAATAGTGGGAAATTGGTTCAAGGGAATATTTCTTCAGCAAATTCTTTTTTCCCTTTGGGTTTCTTAGAAAATACTGATCCTTCTACTTTGGATAGAGGAGATCAAACCAAATGAACCTAACTTTCTGGAATGTTAGAGGATTAAATAAATCCTCTAAGAAGCATTTGGTCAAGCATCACCTATATCAATATAATTCCTCTTTTATTACTCTGATTGAGACTAAAATTAAAGATATTATGATTCCAGCAATAGCTAAGAAAATTGCTAATAGTTGGAACTGGATATCAAATGTCAGGAGTTCTGGCAAAGTAAGAATTATTAGAATATGGGACCCTGATGTTTTGGAGGTTCAACCCTTAAGGTCTTCTTATCAGCACATTACATGTATAGTTAAATCAATTGATGGGAAAGTTAGCTGTATCATTACTTCAGTTTATGGTTTCAATCAGATTGAAGCTAGGAAAGATCTTTGGTTGGATCTCACTCAAGTTAAGCAGAGTATTGGTAATCATCCTTGGTTACTTTGTGGAGACTTTAATGTTATGTTAAATAATGAGGAGAAGTTAGGGGGTTCAATCCTGTCTGAGGCTGATACTAAGGACTTCAAGGACTTCATTGAGAATTGTTTGCTTTCTCACCTGAAAACTCTTGGATGTTTTTATACTTGGAACAATAAGAAAGAAGCTGATTCTAGAGTCTGGTATAGGCTTGACAGAGCACTGGTTAATGATGCATGGATAAATACTTACAATGCCAGTCATGTTGAATTTCTCCTTCCCAGTTTCTCAGACCACTCACCTGCTCAAATTGCAATCTACGAAGAATATATTCAAGGGAAAAAGCTCTTCAAATTCTTCAAAATGTGGACAACCCATCCTAGCTATGTATCCACAGTCTCTGAAGTCTGGAAAGAATCTATTCAAGGGTGCAAAATGTTTTCAGTGTGCAAAAAGCTCAAACTGCTGAAAGGGGCTCTTAAAACTTTAAACAAGAAACACTTCTATAATATAAGTGAGCAAGTGCAAAGAGCTAGAATTGATTTGGAGGACACTCAAAGGGAACTGCAAACTCAGCCTTTCCACCCTATGCTTATATCACAGGAGAAAGAACTCTTATTAAAATATAATAATCTCCTTGATTGCGAAATGTCCTTTTATCAACAAAAGGCCAGGATTAAATGGAATCTTCAAGGTGATAGGTGCACAAGTCTTTTTCACAATATTGCAAAATCCAGAAAGCATAATAACAGGGTGGTTGTTCTGTATAATAGTCTGGGAGAGAAAATCACTGAGGCTGAGGG